ATATTAGGCCTACGTAACCCTAAATCTTAAGAAATCCAAATTCTTAAAAATACCTAAGAAACCCTAAAACATTTAAAAAGCTTAATAAAAAAAAAACCATAAACTCCAAAAAACTCCTAACCTAAAATCCGAAGCCCTAAATACTAAACCAAGAAACCCTAAGAAACTCTAAATCTTAAACCCCAATACCCTAAAACCTATGATCCTAAACCCTAAATCCTAAAAAATCACTAAGAAAACCTAAACCCCTAAAAATCACTAAGAAAACCTAAACCCTAAAAAACCTAAAAAAAAACATTAAAACCGCTAAACCTAAAGAACCATAAATCCCAAACTCTAAACCTTGAACCCTAAACCCTTAAATATCATAATCCCAAAACCCAAACCCAAAACCCAAAAAAGAACTAAGAAACCCAAAACCCTAAAAAACAACAAAGAAAAACTTATAAAACATTAAAACCTAGAAAACCTCTAAAAAATATTAAACCTAACAAACCTAAATCCTAAACCATAGAAAAACCCTAAACCTAAACACTAAACCCTACACCCTAAATGACACATAAAAAACCTAGGAGACCTTAAATGTTAAACTCAAACCCTAAGAAAACCAAACCCTAAACCTTAGGGATAAACCCCCAACCCTAAGCCTTATGAAACTCTAAGAAGCCCTAAATCCTAAAAAAAGCTAAACACTTAAAACCTTTAAAACCTAAACACTAAACCCTAAATGACCCAAAAAAAACCTAGGAGGCCTTAACTGTTAAACTCAAATCCTAAGAAACTTAAACCCTAAACCTTAGGGATAAACCCCCAAACCTAAGCCTTATGAAAATCTAAGAAGCCCTAAATCCCAAGAAACGCTAAACACTAAAAACCTTTAAAACCCTAAAACTAAAAATCCCGAAAACAAATCTTAAAAACCCTAAAAAAATTCCTTCATCTAAAACCCCAAATCCTAAGCCCTTAGAGCTCATATATCGTAGAAACAATAATGATCCTAAAAAAACTTTAACAATCCTAAATTGAAAAAAACTCTTGACCGAATTTTTTTTAGAAAAACTTAAGCTCTAAACCCTAACATAAAAACCCTTAACCAAATACATAAACTCTTCTTAATCATGTTCAGATTATATCATTGTTCAATATGCTCTATTCAGTTATATATATTTGTTCAGCTTTATGATGTCATGCATGCTCAGAATCATTCAACTACTGATACATAGTCTACGCTACATCTTCTCTTGATGTAGGTTCAGGTCTTTAGCATTCAGATCAAGCGGAGATCGGTTCCCGATCCGTATTCAGCAATATCAGTGGTGAGTCCTCATTTTTCGAGGATGATTTACATGTTTTATATTCAGTCTTTCATTTTAGTTTCAGTTTTGCTAGAGTTAGTTGGGGGCATGTCCCAGCATCTCTAGTCAGTTAGAGGCTTTTATTCATACATTGTTTTTGTCACTCCCCAAGGTTACCCACTTGACGTAACACGAGACCTAGTATCACGAGTGACCCCAAGCTAACCTTGAGTTGACATATCATAAGCATATTAGATCAACACCTTTAAAAGCCTAAACCTAAGAATGACAATCTTTTACTGGTGATGAAAACATAGAAGGTACAAGTGAACAAGCTCAGTTCTTGAGAAATCTGAAAGAGTTTCTGAAAGATGGAATTGAAAAAAGTCATTCAAGCAGACTATTCTATGCGTAAAATTCTTTTTGGATAGGTTTAAGTTGTGTTGTTTCAGCACAATTTTACCACAAATAAGCTCCACAATTTAGTACATGACACTTCAAAATAAAAATGCAGTTTTCAGCACATTCACATTTTCAGAGCACATTCAAAAAATTCTACAGATTTTGGCAAGCACTCTAAAAACTTCACAATAATAATCTGTACAATACAGCATAATCTGCACAAAAATAATTTGCACAATGCTCACATCTGCATTGAGCAGGCAAAGAAAGTCACCAACTGAACCTCCAACGTAAATTGTACTAAACTATAGTAACTCATGGAAGGTCTTTGGTTTAACCCTCCATATCACCATCAATAGGAAAATGAAGAAGAAGAGCAAAAAAAAGAGTCGCAATAGAAAAATAAACAAAGTGGCAACAGAGAAAGGAAATAGAGTTGCAAGAGAAACATAAAGAAGAAGAAGAAACACTCAAAACATAGAATTAGCGACACCAACCTTGCTCAGCCCCTTGAACAGAAGTAGGTTCACTTGGTGAAGGAATGGACAATGCTGCCAGTATGTTAGGATCAATTAATCCCGCATGCTTGAGTTGTGCAATTACATCTGCAATAACTTCTTGTCGCACAGTTTTCTTTTGTTCCTCCATTTGTTTCTCCATTTTTTGCATCATTTCTTGCATTTGCTGCATTCCATCAGTTGTTGCATTTAAAGTTGATTCTGAATTGCCAACTTTTTTTTCAAAGTAGTCTTTGTAACTCCTACTCCATATAGTCTTAGGCGTCCCGGATGTTCAGGACCCATGACGGTTGAAAATGCATCAACATACTAGTCATTTGTGCTCATTTGTTTTTCAATTTCCTCCATTTCAGCCTACAAAAGCATATCCAACAAACACAATCTTATAAATTAAAATTTAAAATAAATAACTTATCTCAATTTAAAAATTGAAAATAGACAGTACTCATACAATTTTACTAGTAGTATTTTCATTCGAAGCCTTGTACAAACGCCGGGTTTTCTTGTTCTTGTAACCACAAAGAGATCCTTAGATGATACTGTCTCCTTTTCTTTCTCCTAGTCATATTGCAATGTGTATCAGAAATTGTTTAAATGTCATGTTAATACTAGACAGTAAATAAGAGAACACACCAGCTTATTACGGACTAAAGCGAAACTCTTTTTGCCAGCAGTGTGTGGATTCATCAGCTTTTTTCGATTCTTAGTATTTGTTTCAGACATTTTCTACAAAGAAGTGAATCAATAATGTTAATCGAAAGAATATTAGTGCTATATAGTGTACTAGACGAGGTCATTTTCTCAATATTTCTTTTTCAACAAGTCCAACTGAATAAAAAGAGTGAGTAGACAGATTTGGAAGACTGCAACAATTTTCAAACTCACAACATGAGCGAATCAATAATGTGTCTTGTAAACAAGTTGTTTTAATTGTGACTTCCACACCAATGAAGAAAGAAGCTGTAACATATTACAACATAAAAGAGAAAGTAAAAGAAAAAATAAAGCAGAAGCAGCAACGATATCACAAAAGAGACCACGAAATGAGTAAGCTGAAAATTTGATATTCTAAACTACATTTTTACCTTGAATTTTTCAGACTTCCAATATTTGAGGAGCTCTCTAAATTGACATTCTGGAATATGACCAGGCCTGTTTTCCATTCGAACTTCATCATTATCATATGGATCGTAATAAGTCATTTTCAAATCACTTCTATGTCTTCTCCAAGCTTCTCGAATTGTTACCATAGTCCAATTGTACGCAGGTTCAGGAATAATGTATTTCTCCTATAATTTTGTGTCATTCGCTTAGCCAATAGAAGTAAAATACTTTTACAAATAATTTAATATTGTAAACTACAAACCTTGGTATAATCCCATAAATCTTGTTTAGTGTCCATGCTCCTCCAATCTAATATATCAAATGGGCAAAGAGTCGCATTTCTAGCCAATGTTCCTAGGAAGCTGCTTAATTCTATGACAACATCATCAGTAGGACCAACAGGCTGATTTTCCCTATTAAGTAGGATCAATTTACGCTCTTTTCGGGCATGTACATTATGCATTTGAGTTCTACCTCTTTTATTTTGAGTGGAAACGTCTTCAGCTATAAGAAAATGCAAGAAATATAATTAGAAATCATGGATACATTTAATAAGTTTCTAAGCTTATATGCTACCTTGTTCTTCAGGTTGATCATCTGTTTGAGGAGTGACATAATTCATTTGCACTTGATCCACAGAAGGCAGCTCCTCGACAGGCTGATCCTCGACAGGCTGCTCCTCGACAGGCTGCACCTCTACAGATTGTCTATTTGCTTCAGATTGTGGTGCTATTGGTTGTTGCACTTCAAGTAATTTAAGCAAATGTCCTTTCTCGCACTCTATAGCTTGAACAATTTCATTTGTTGTCAATAACCGCCGTTTCTTATTTGCCAAGAATGATAACGATCCTGGTTTAGCGAATGTCTTATTTTTTGGTTTTTTGTTTTTTTTTTAAGGTTCTTGTTGACTCATGACTATTCAAACCTGTGTAAAAATAGGACTACAGAAGTTATAGAAGTTGTACTATTCACCAAGGTCTTACCAATAACATTTTTTATCTGTAAAATTTGAAACCAAATATTTAACTCTATTTAATAATCATATCAATTTTATGAAACAAAGAGCTGAAAACAAAATGTACCCTTAAGTAGCAGCAGTAGCAACAACATATTATCAAGAGCTTAGAAGAAAATAAATATAAAACTAGTTTGAACTAGTTTGAAATCCAACTTTTGAAAGTCTGCTACTTAATGACCTCAATGGGATTTCAAAGAAATGACAGAAGATGTAAAGAAGTATTAGCAAAGAAATATTCAAAGAATCATAATAAAGAGATAAGAACCTGGTGTTTTGGACCTTAATAAAGAGATAAGAACCTGGTGCTTTGCTGGTATACTGTGATGTTGAAGATTGCTCAGAGAAACTGCAGAAAGAAGAATAATAAAAATGAATAAGAGAGAAAAAAGACTTAGCAAAAGTACTAATCCCAAAACAAGAAATGAAGGACCACAAAGAAAGATTTCATAACATATCCAACAATTTTTAGCACATGTGCATTATTGAAGTTGCAGTAATTTAGAGATAACTTGAAAATGAAACACATTAATAGAAACAAAAAGAAGAGATAGCAAGTCCAATCATTCATAATTTATATGATGCAACTCAAAAGGATATTCATTACTTACAACAACAAAAAAAACAAGAAGAGCATGTATTTGAACAAGTTCACAAGATCTTTTGTCAATCATCAGCTTCCATCCAATCCCAATCAGTATCATCAAAGTCATCCTCCTCTTCCGATGTTTCCATTGCTACATCTTGTGAATGTTGTGCAATGGAAGGAACATCGATGATATCAACAGGGAGATCTTCTCTCGACCATCTAACATCTACATCAAGTAATCTTTCTGATGAACCAATATCATCATTAGGCTCTCTCCAAAATGTTTCTTCAATATTAGGACAACTCTCTTCCTCCAAATCATACAAATCCACTGGGACTTTGTCTTGCATAATAAACATTTTTCTCAATTGGGTCTTCCACATAAAAAACTTGATGCACTTGAGATGCTAGTACAAAAGGATCATCTGTACTACTTTTTTTTTTTGAAGTATACCCGAGTCAATCCATATTCATCGACTTCATTATGAAACCAATCACATTTAAAAAGTACAACACTAAAGCAACCCCAATTATCAATCTCAATGATATCCTGAATAATTCCATAATAGATAACCATTCCATCGACGGGATTTTGGTCCCTAGCACTAGCAAAACTATCTGTTGTTGCTGACAAAGTCACTCCATTATTTTGAGTTTTGCAAGGGGCATCCCGTGTCTTCGTATGAAATTGATATCCATTAATGAAATATCTAGTATATCTTTTTGCCACAAAGTTAGGCCCTTTAGCTAGCCATCTTATATGATTGGACACTTCAATATTTTTAACTTTGTTCCTAAACCAATCACCAAATTCTCTACTATGGACCCGTGCTTTTACCCATGCATTTCCTCTAGTACGATTATCAATTAAACTCTTATGTTCCCTGTAAGCATGTAATGTAATTTCATCAATGTGTATTTATAAATGAAATGAAATCTGAAATACATTATCATAACATCTAAATGATGTTTAAAAACAAACTACTATTTTATCTTACTTGATGAATGTCTCTACTTGTTCATCTCCGGTATTGAACAAAGTATATCGATGTGCTTCAAACCACTCATGTTGCTCCATGATAATAGATTTGCCTTTCCTTATATTCTCACTTCCGATTGGATGACCTGTCTTAGGAAATAAAGGTGAAACATCACCTTCCTCTGTTTGAATGTCCTCATCATCCTCCGTTTGATACCTACTTAATCTTGTCTTCACCGTATTAGGTAGGTGTATCGAACAGAAGTTCAAACAATCTACAGCTGAAAAACCTTCTACTATTGATCCTTCTGGATTTTTTCGATTACGAACAAGCTCCTTGAAATTACACATAGTTCTTTCAGTAGAATACATCAAACGCAAATGAGTTGGGCCTCCAAGCTTAATTTCATCTACTAGATGGATAGGCAAATGTGTCATTATATCAAAAAAAGACGGAGGAAAAATCTTTTCAAGCTCGCATTCAATATCTATGTTTTCTGTTTTCATCTTATCAAGATCGCTTCTTCTTATAACCTTGCTACATATGGCTCTAAAAAAATTCCCCAACCTAATCAAGACCATAGATACATTCTTGGGTAACACTTTTCTGACTGCAACCTGGAGCAAGTAATGCATTATGAAATGAGCATCATGACTTTTGTATCCTGATACTTTCATCTCTTCAATTTGAACATGACTTGATATATTAGAGGCACACCCTTTTGGTAATTTGGCATCTTTTAAGACGGTGCAAAATAACTTTTTCTCTGATGGTTTCATAGAGAAACAAGCTTTAGCTAGATGGATATTTCCAGTAGCACAATCTTTTACAGGTTGAAGCTCTTTACATATCCCCATTTCATACAAGTCATAGCGAGAATTTATATGATCTTTGGACTTTCCAAGTATATCCAATAAAGTCCCAAGTAAACTGTCACAAATATTCTTCTCTATGTGCATCACGTCAAGATTGTGCCTCAATTTGTTGGTTGCCCAATACGGCAACTCAAAAAATATGGATTTGTTTTTCCATGGACCATCATTCTTTCGTTTTCTTTTCTTGTTGTTCTTTCCAAAAACATTATTGAATTCACGAAGCTCTTCAAGAATTTGTACCCCTGATAATGGAGTAGGTGCAACTTTATGCTCCTCTTTACCATTAAATGATTTTTATCTCTTCTAAATGGATGATCGGAAGGTAAAAATGCCCGATGACCCAAGTAACACATCTTACGACTATGTTTGAGATATTGGGAACAAGTATTATGATTACAAGTGGGGCATGCCCATCTCCCCTTGGTGCTCCATCCAGAAAGCATTGCTAGAGCTGGAAAATCACTAATTGTCCACAATAAAGCTGCACGCATTTGAAATGTTTGATTAGTTACAACATCATATGTTTCAAGTCCGACTTCCCATAGTTCCTTCAACTCCGCAATCAGTGGTTGCAAGTATACATCTATATCATTTCCTGGAGATGATGGACCTGGAATAATCATTGACAACATAATATTCTCTGACTTCATGCAACTCCATGGTGATAAATTATAGTTCATTAACATAACTGGCCATGTGCTATGGGAAATGCTCATAGTTCTGAATGGATTGAAACCATCACTTGAAAGACCCAATCTAACATTACGAGCATCATTAGCAAATTCAGGATGCAAGGAATCGAAATCCTTCCAAGCTTCACCATCTGCAGGATGTCTTAAATTTCCATCTTTAGGTTGTTCAGTATCATGCCATCTCATAGCTACAGATGTTTCAGAACACATGAATATCCTCTGAAGCCTAGGCTTTAAAGGAAAGTACCTTAAAACCTTCACTGGGATTTTAGTGACCTTATTAGTTAAGTCATTACGAACATTCTTCCATCTTGAAGCTCCACACACAGAGCAATTATCTAACTTAGCATTGTCATTCCAAAATAACATGCAATCGTTAGTGCAAGCATGGATTTTCTCATAATGAAGACCCAAATCTTTTATGACCTTTTTTGCCTTGTAAAAAGACTCGGGTATCTGAGCAAGTGGAAATGCCTCTCTTATCAAGTCCAACAAATCTGAAAAGGCCACATCAGTCAACTTGTGAATGCATTTGAACAAGTATAACCGGATGGTAAAACTCAACTTAGAAAAATTCTTACACCCCGGATACAACTCTTCTTTCCTTTCCTCCACTAATTTAGAAAATCTCTTTGCATATTTAGATGGTCCCTCTCTCACTCCTTCATGCCTCTGGTCATCTTCTACATTTCTAAAAGTATTATGAAGTAGTCTGTCAATATCATCATTCATGTTGGAAGTTTCTTCATCATTGGTTGGATGTGGCGTATTTCTTGAGGAAAATCCTTCTCCATGAAAAACCCATTTGGTATATCCATGAACAAATCCATGACAAAGTAAGTGACCCTCTACCATATCTCGACAATGCCAATTACGATTAAAGCACTTCTTACAAGGACATAATATTTCATTTCCTTGGGAAGCTCGTTCAAATGCTTTATCAAGAAAATCATTAACTCCATGAATATATTCATTGGTGGATCTTCGGAGATTCATCCAACTTTTATCTCCAAAATCCATTGAATATATATATCTTACATGACATGTGCAAATCATCAAAGCCAATAAATTCATGAGTACAAGAAATATCAAGAGAACTTAACCTTTCAAAGTTTTAGATTAATCGAATCTCAAACCTCCGCATCAATTCAACACCAAACAATGGCAGTATTAATAGTAGAATCCAAAAAATATTGATAAGTTAAGTTATTACCAGCTTCTACCATTTAAGAAACTTTATACAAATGAATGAAAAAAAATCAGAAGAAAAACTAATTATAGAAAAAAGTATTCCAATATTCAGTGTACACCTTAACATTTTTGTAATTCTAATTACCTTCCTATGCTTGGCTACTAAGATACAATAATAGTAGACCAAATACTTCAAATTGTGTATTATTTTTTTGGCCAAATGTCTAATGTTTGTTGTATAAGCTAAACTTTTTTATATGATTCTCTTTAGAGTTTAGACTGTTAAAGAAATCGGACAGTTGACGATTGCACCAATACATACACACTGTTAATTAGAAGAGTTTCACCTATCCTATGCATGCTACTCTCACAATCAAAAATTGCAACAGAATCATAAATAAATAGTGTAATCAGAATCTTCATTTACATAGCTGCCCCTGAAATGGATATTAGCATCAAAAGGTAGAGGGAATAAACTCAAACGCATACAAGAAGTAAATTCAGTGAAATTCTCTTAGACTCTAGCATGAAAATTCTTCCTGAAATTTTCAAATCTGATCAGTCCAGCATATTCAGTTTATTGTATAGAAAAAGATGACAAGTATCTTAGACTTCTTTTTACCTGAAATATGTCCTGTGCGTGATTTTTAGGGGAAAAAGTCAACTACAAATCTAAATTTCTCTCATAAAACTAAAATTCACTCTTCCTGTGCGTGATTTTAGGGGAAAAAGTCAACTACAAATCGAAATTTCTCTCATAAAACAAAAATTCACTCTCTCAAAGACTTTTGCTTGAGAGTTCTCAAATCTCCACCAAACACGAAATACAAACTATAACCCTAGATTATATGGCAGACCTAGATTAGAACAAATAACATAGATTTAAGACAAACCCATATATTATTCTTTACGATTTTTCAAAAATCATTCAATGGGGACTTAGAAATCATTAACTAGCAGAGAAAACATAAAATTTACTCACCTTTACATCCAAGAATTTGTTGTCGAAAGACCAGTGGAGCTTCAACTAAAGTAAAAGATATCAATGCCCAAGAAATTTGCTATCGAAAGACCAACGAGCTTCACCAGAGAGATTTCTTCACCAAGAACTTCGCTGTTGTTTTCTTCACCAAGAATTTCGCTGAGATTTTGTAGAACAGAACAACATTAGGGAAAAAGTGTGCTTTAATTTGGTTGAAAAAGGGTTTTATGGGAAAGGCCTTTTTTCTTTTAGATTTTTTTAATGACATAAAAACAATTGGCGCTTTGCAAAATTAGTGGAGGGAAATATATATTTTTGGGGAGGGAAATATATTTTAGGGATAAAAATCAGAACCACAATATTTTTCCTAAAATAACTGTTGCCATAGAGTCATCTATTGCAACGATTCTAAAATCGGTAGCCATAGAAACTCTATAGGGACGGTTATAGGGATGATGCCACGGTTCATTTTAACAATTGTTCTATTAAATCCAATGATATATTGCAACAGTTATAACCGTTGTAATAGGCAATCTATTGCTACGATTGTGTAACCGTTGCTACATAAGCGTTGCAGTAAGTCAAATTTCTAGTAGTGCCCCAACCCTAAGCCTTATGAAACTCTAAGAAGCCCTAAACCCTAAGAAACGCTAAACACTAAAAACCTTTAAAACCCTAAAACTAAAAATCTCGAAAACAAATCTTAAAAACCCTAAAAAAATTCCTTAATCTAAAACCCCAAGTCCTAAGCCCTTAGAGCTCATATATCGTAGAAACAATAATGATCCTAAAAAAACTTTAACAATCCAAAATTGAAAAAAAACTCTTGACCGATTTTTTTATAGAAAAACTTAAGTTCTAAACCCTAACCTAAAAACCCTTAACCAAATACCTAAACTCTTCTTAATCATGTTCAGATTATATCATTGTTCAATATGCTCTATTCAATTATATATATTTGTTCAGCTTTATCATGTCATGCATGCTCAGAATCATTCAACTACTGATACATAGTCTACGCTACATCTTCTCTTGATGTAGGTTCAGGTCCTTAGCATTCAGATCAAGCGGAGATCGGTTCCCTATTCGTATTCAGCAATATCGGTGGTGAGTCCTCGTTTTTCGAGGATAATTTACATGTTTTATATTTTCAGTCTTTCATTTTAGTTTCAGTTTTGCTAGAGTTAGCTGGGGGAATGTCCCAGCATCTCTAGTCAGTAAGATGCTTTTATTCATACATTATTTTTGTCACTCCCCGAGGTTACCCACTTGACGTAACACGAGACCTAGGATCACGAGTGACCCCAAGCTAACCTTGAGTTGACATATCATAAGCATATTAGATCAACACCTTTAAAATCCTAAACCTAAGAAATCTGAAATCCCTAAGAAACCCTACCCCAAGAAACACTAAATCCTAAACCTTAGGGAAACCCCAAGACTTATGAAACACCATCAAACCCTAAAGCCTAAAAACACCTTTAAAAACACTAAACCTAAAAACACCCTTAAAATCCCTAACCCCTAGAAACGCTAAATTTAAAATCCTAAGGCGTAAACCCAAAGAAACCCTAAGCCGTAAGAACCCCTAAACAGTAAAAAATCATAACAATCAAGAAAACCCATTTTAAAATCCGAAACCTTAAAGAACTCTGAACCTAAAAAATTCAATAAAAACATAAGCCCTAAACCTTAAAAACCCTAAAAAACTTTTGAAGCCCTAAACTTTTAAAAACCCAAAACCCTATAAATCCCCTAAGATCTAAGAACCCCTTAATCGTTAAAAAATCATAGAAATCCTAAACACCTTCAAACCGTAATTCTAAAAATTCCTCTAAACTTAATAAAACACTAGAAAATCTTAAGCCCAAAACCCTTAAAAAAACCAAACCCTAAGAAATCCTAAACGCTAAATAATATACCCTTAGAAACTCTAAATCAATAACTCTAAATCATAGGGCTAAACCTTAAACGCAAAACCATATGGAATCCTAAGAAACCCTAAACCCTAAAATCCCTTTAAACACCTACAACTATAATACCCGGAAAAAAAAACTCCTTTAAAACCATAAGCCCTAGAAAAAACCTTAAACTTAAAATCCTATGCCCTATATTAGGCCTACGTAACCCTAAATCTTAAGAAATCCAAATTCTTAAAAATACCTAAGAAACCCTAAAACATTTAAAAACCTTAATCATAAAAAAAAACCATAAACTCTAGAAAACTCTTAACCCAAAATCCGATGCCCTAAATCCTAAACCAAGAAACCCTAAGAAACTCTAAATCTTAAACCCTAAAACCTATGATCCTAAACCCTAAATCCTAAAAAATCACTAAGAAAACCTAAACCCCTAAAAATCAATAAGAAAACCTAAACCCTAAAAAACCTTAAAAAAAAACTTTAAAACCCCTAAACCTAAAGAACCATAAATCCCAAACTCTAAACCTTGAACCCTAAACCCTTCAATATCATAATCCCAAAACCCAAAAAAGCACTAAGAAACCCAAAACCCTAAAAAACAACAAAGAAAAACTTAAAAAACAATAAAACCTAGAAAACCTCTAAAAAATCTTAAACCTAACAAACCTAAACCCTAAACCATAGAAAAACCCTAAACCTAAACACTCCCTACACCCTAAATGACCCAAAAAAAACCTAGGAAACCTTAAATGTTAGACTCAAACCCTAAGAAACCCAAACGCTAAACCTTAGGGATAAACCCCCAACCCTAAGCCTTATGAAACTATAAGAAGCCCTAAATCCTAAGAAAAGCTAAACACTTAAAATCTTTAAAACCTAAACACTCAACCCTAAATGACCCAAAAAAACCTAGGACGCCTTAAATGTTAAACCCAAATCCTAAGAAACTTAAACCCTAAACCTTAGGGATAAACCCCCAACCCAAAGCCTTATGAAACTCTAAGAAGCCCTAAACCCTAAGAAACGCTAAACACTAAAAACCTTTAAAACCCTAAAATTAAAAATGCCGAAAACAAATCTTAAAAACCCTAAAAAAATTCCTTAATCTAAAACCCCAAATCCTAAGCCCTTAGAGCTCATATATCGTAGAAACGATAATGATCCTAAAAAAACTTTAACATTGTTTTTGTCCCAGCTGGGGGAATGTCCCAGCATCTCTAGTCAGTTAGAGGCTTTTATTCATACATTGTTTTTGTCACTCCTCGAGGTTACCCACTTGACGTAACACGAGACCTAGGATCACGAGTGACCCCAAGCTAACCTTGAGTTGACATATCATAAGAATATTAGATCAACACCTTTAAAAGCCTAAACCTAAGAAATCTGAAATCCCTAAGAAACCCTACCCCAAGAAACACTAAATCCTAAACCTTAGGGAAACCCCAAGACTTATGAAACAATATCAAACCCTAAAGCCTAAAAACACCTTTAAAAACACTAAACCTAAAAACACCCTTAAAATCCCTAACCCCTAAAAACGCTAAATTTAAAATCCTAAGGCCTAAACCCAAAGAAACCCTAAGCCGTAAGAACCCCTAAGCAGTAAAAAATCATAACAATCAAGAAAACCCCTTTTAAAATCCGAAACCTTAAAGAACTCTGAACCTAAAAAATTCAACAAAAACTTAAGCCCTAAACCTTAAAAACCCTTGAATAAAAACTTAGACCTTATACCCAAAGAATCCCTAAACCCTTCCGCCTAAATCTTAGGACTAAACCCTAAGAAACCCTAAACTTTAAGAAATAAAAAAAACCCTAAAAAACTTTTGAAGCCCTAAACATTTTAAAACCCAAAACCCTATAAATCCCCTAAGATCTAAGAACCCCTTAATCGTTAAAAACTCATAGAAATCCTAAACACCTTC